CATCGGGGTTGCAGCTCTGGGACCCGCATCCGCTCATCAGGTTCTCTTTGGAAGCTCCTGGGCGGAGGCGTATCGCCTCCGATCAGATATTTGAACGGGTCGCTCAGATATTTGTATGGAGGCGCTGGGGCGAAGGTGGATGCCAAGATTCCAGCTTCGATCGGAGTCTGTCGAGATACAAGAATCTGCATCATGGAAGACTCGTGGAGGTCCGCGCGGGTCTCATCACCAGCCTTCCCAGCAGGGGGCGCATCACCGACCCAAGAAGTCCACGCGGACCTCCGCCCGTTATGTCTCTGCAGTTCCATGGTCCTCTTCAAGCCTGGCTCCGCAGGTGGAGCCCCGAGGAGCTGGAGCTGGTCATTCCCCACGCCGAGCTGTACGCGAACATTCAGACGGTCCACGAGAAGATGGACTTTCGGGGTGCGGGGGGTGCGGGGGGCGGCTGCACTGTCTCCCGCCAGCCCGGCGTTTCCCGCATTCGCCTTAGCATGTCTTTGGGTTACATGCGTGGACGACCTTTCGCAGCCGTGATCTTTGGGGCGCGTCTTCCCGGTGAGACGGGGGTATTGGCAGGGAGGCTAGACCCAAACTCGGAGGCCGCCATTGTCGCATCGCATGCCGCGATCGGGAAGTAGCAAACCCACTGTCACTCTTGCCTATGGCAACTGTTGCATGCATTTGTATGGTTGCATCGGTGTACGCACTCTCATATATATATATATATATATATACCTATACGACCACCCTTCGGGTGATGAGGAGGTTGTGGGGGGGGAGAGGGGGGAACCAACACCTGACTCAATCGATCTCACTATCGCTCTCACTCAACGGGACACCACGGGACACCACGGGACATCTGTCGATCCCACTATCGATCTCACTATCGATTCCATTTTTCGGGACACCACGGGACACCACGGGACACCTCTCGATCTCACTATCGGTCTCACCACCTCGGGACACCACATCGATCTCACTATCGATCTCACTATCGATCTCACTCAACGGGACACCACGGGACACCACGGGACACCTCGCGATCTCATTATCGAATTCATTATCGATTTCATGTTTTGGGGACACCACGGGACACCTCGGGGCACCACATCGATCTCAGTATCGATCTCATTGTCGATCTCACTATCGATTTCACTCAACGGGACACCACGGGACACCTGTCGATTTCACTATCGATCTCACTATCGATCTCACTTTTTGGGACACCATGGGACACCACGGGACAGCTCGAGGCACCACATCGATCTCAGTATCGATCTCACTATCGCTCTCCCTATCGATCTCACTCAACGGGACACCACGGGAAATCGCGGGACACCGCTAGGGCCACCGCCGGATGGACGGACGGACGGGGGAGAATCATTTGCCCTAGCAACGGCGGACACCACCGGACACCACGGAACACCGCTGGACACCGCTAGGACCATCGCCGGACGGACGGACGGGGGAGAATCATTTGTCTTGCATTCGCCCTAGCAACGGCGGACACCACGGGACACGCTAGGGCCACCGCCAGGGCCACCGCCAGGGCTACCGCCAGAGCCACCGCCGGACGGACGGACGGACGTTGGAGAATCATTTATCTTGACTTCGCCCTGGCAACGGCGGGTTCATTCCTCTCGCGCGCCCACGCAGCTTCTCCTCGCCCGCACGCATGACACGAACGAAACGAAACGATTTGCCGGTTGGGGGTCTCCGTTCCACTGCGATCTCACCCCCCAAACTCCGACATACCTATACGACCACCCTTCGGGTGATAAGGAGGTTGTGGGGGTGTAACCCTTCCCAGCACAACACCCCAGCACAACCCCCCAGCACAACCCCCCAGCAAAACCCCCAGCACAACCCCCCAGCACGACCCCCCAGCACGAACTCCCACAGCACAACCCCCCAACACGACCCCCCAGCAGCCCCTTAGCACAACCCCGCCGAAAAACTCCCCGGGACAAAAAAAACCCTTCACGAGCCCCCCAGCACAACCACGCCGCACAACCGCCCAGCACAACCCCCGAGCACAACCCCACCGCACAACCCCCAGGCACAACGCCCCAGCACCCAGCACAATCTCCCAGCACAACCCCCAGCACAACCCCCCAGCACAACCCCCCAGCACAACCTCCCAGCACAACCCCTCGGCACAACCCCCCAGCAACCCCCCCAGCACAACCCCGCCTCACAGCCGCACCCTACAATCCCCCACCAACAGCCCCCATCACAACCCCCGTGCAGAGCCCACAGCACAGCCCCCCAAGCACAACCCCCGAGCACAACCCCCCAGCACAACCTCCCAGCACAACCCCCGGCACAACCCCCCAGCACAACCCCCAAGCACGCCCCCCCCGCACGACTTCCCAACACAACCCCCCAGCACGAGTCCCAAGCACAACCCCCCAGCAACCTTCCCCAGAACAGCCCCCCAGCACAACCCCCCATCACAACCCCGCCGCGCAACCTCCCAGCACAACCGCGCGGCATAACCCCCCAGCACGACCTCTCAGCACAACGCCCTCAGCACGACCCCCCAGCACAATCCCAAGCACAACCCCGAGGCATAACTCCCCCAAACACAAGCCCCGAGCACAATCCCCCAGCACAACCCCTCGGCATAACCTCCCCAGCAAAACCCCCAGCACGACCTTCAGCACAACGCCCCGGCCCAACCCCCGGCGCAACCCCCCAGCAAGCCCCCGCGGCGCAACCCCACGGCTCAGCCCACCAGCGCAACCTCCCAGCACGGTTCCCCAGCAAATACCCCCAGCATGACCCCCCAGCACAACCCCCAGCACAACCCAGCACCATCTGCCAGCACAAACCCCTCCAGCACAACCCCTTAGCACAACTTCCCAGCACTACCGCACGGCATAAATCACCCAGCACAACCTCCCAGCAACCTTCCCCAGAACAACCCCCCAGCACACCCCCCCAGCACAACCCTCCATCACAACCCCCAGCACAACCTCCCAGCACCCCCCCCCCAGCACAACCCCACCGCGCTACCCTCCAGCACAATCTCCCAGCACAACCCCACAGCACAAACCCCGAGCGCGACCCCCCAGCACACCCTCCCAGCACAACCACCCCACACAACCACCAGCACGACCGCACAGCAACCCCCCTCCGGCACAACCCCCCAGCACAACCCCAGCGCGACCCCCAGCACAACCTCCCAGCACAACCCCTCAGCACAACCCCCAGCGCAGCCCCCCCAGCCCCCCCCAGCACAACCCAACCGCATAACCCTCCAGCACAACACTCAGCACAACCCAAACCCCCAGCACAACCCCCAACACAATCCCCCATGCACACACCCCCAGGACAACCACACTGCACAACCCTTCAGCAACGTCCCCACCGCACAATCTCCCCCTGCACAACACCCCAGCAAAACCCCCCAGCACGACCGCCCAGCACAACCCCCAGCACAACTTCCGAGCACAATCTCCCAGCAACCTCCCCCAGCACAACCCCACAGCACAACCTCCCAGCACAACACCACAGCACAACCCCTCAGCACAATCCCTTGGCACAACCTCCCAGCACAATCCCCCAGCACAACCTCCCAGCACAACCGCCCAGCACACCCCTCAGCACAACCGCACGGCATCAACCACCTAGCACAGCCCCCCATCCAGCACGACCTTCCCAGCACAACACCCCAACACAACCTCCAGCACAAGCCCCCAGAACACCCCCCAGCACAAGCCCCCAGAACAACCCCCCAGCACAAACCCCTAGCACAACCCCCAAGCACAACCCCCAAGCACAACCCCCAAGCACAACCCCCCAGCACATCTCCCGAACACGACCCCCCCCCAGCACAACACCCCAGCACGACCCCCCAGCACAATCCCAAGCACACACACACACACCCAGCACAACCCCCCACTGCACGAACCACCAGCACGACCCCCCAGCGCTATCCCCAGCACAACCCCCCAGCACAACAACTCGGCATAACCCCCCTGCACACTCCCCAGCACAACCGTCAGCACAACACCCCAGCACAACCCCCAGCACAACCCGCCAGCAAGCCCCCCCAGCACAACCCCCCAGCACAGCCCCCCAGCACAACACCCACCTGCACAACCCCCAGCACCCCCCCCCAGCACGACCCCCCAGAACAACCCCCCAGAACAACCCCCCAGCACAACCTCCCAGCAACCTTCCCCAGAACAACCCCACCTTACAACCGCCCAGGCACACCCCCACTGCACACCCCCCCCAGCACAGCCACACCGCACACTCCCCCAGCACAACCCCACCGCACAACTCCTCCAACACCCCCCCCCCCCCCAGCACAACCCCCCAGCACCACCCCTCAGCACAACCTCACCGCATAACCCCCCATCACATACCCCCAGCACAACCTCTCAGCACAACCCCTTGCACAAGCCACCAGCACACTCACCCAGCACAAGCCCCCAGCACAAGCCCCCAGCACAACCAGCACAACCCCCCAGCACAACCACACAGCGCGACCCCCCAGCACAATCCCCGAGCACAAGTCCACAGCATAACCCCCCAGCACAATCTCCAGGCACGACCCTCAGCACAACCCCTCAGCAAAACCCCGCAGATCGAACCCCCAGCACAACCCCCCACGACCAGCAGCGTCACCCCCAGCACGACCGCCCAGCACGCCCGCAGTGATTCGTGGCGCGTCGATTTGCTATACGAAATCATGTTTCGTTACATGCCGCGTCGTGGCTTCGGTTCATGCTTTTACAGTTCCTAGTTGTGTTATCTGCCCCGCCTCGGGGCTGCGACATCTACGCGACAACCTACATATTTGACTTTCTTGTGCTTCATAATCCTAGTACCACGAAGGTCTACTACGACGCTCACGCAATCACCGCCTGCACTGTGCTATTCAAGCGGGGGGGATGATTGAGGAAGGGTGCGAAGGACGAGCAGGAACGGGAAGAAGGAAGGACCGGGCTGCGTGCGTCGCCCAGGATACGCTCAAGAGTCAACACGCGATGATAAGGCAAATCCTGTTCTTCTATTCCTTCGTCTTGCTGATGAAGTTTTTCAAGGCCCTCATGGCGAGAATGAGCAGGAGGGAAAAAGTGGAAAAGGGAGGACAAAGGAGGAAAAGGGGGGAAGAGGAGCTGGTGGAAGGAGGAGGGGGAAGTAGGAGGACCTGAATTCATGAAGGGTGCACCTGCGATGCTGAAAGCACTCTCCCGTGCCAGGTCCCGCCTTTCCCTGAAAGGCGAGAGCCCGAGTGGCACGACATTCAAGGGAGATAACAGATTTGAGAAAGAGCCGCCCGCTTTATGTCCAACTACATGACGTTCCTCGGAGTAAGACCACACTTATGCAGGACCTGTGTCACGTGAGAGCCCGGCTTGCAAAAAAGATAGCCCTCCACTGTTTAAGTTGTGGTTGCATTCTTGGTCATGAAACATGAGGACGTGTCAAGCGAGATCCACATTCGGGAAAGGGGTTGCCCTCCATCCGTGTAGCTATCGCAGAGTATTCACAGTGGGTCCTCACCCGTGAAAAGGAACGACAGAGCTGCCTGAGGCAGCTCCCGCCGCCGTGCCAGCCCAGCATTATGCGTGGCGACTGTTCGAGGGGCACGGGAGGCCGTCACGTGTGACACCTCGTACCTCCAGGCTTGGGAGAGCTATGCTGGACGATGAGGACGATGAAGTTGATGACGATGACGAGGCGGAGGAGGAGTTGCAGGAGGACGAGGAGGAGGAGGAGGAAGAGTACGAAGAGGACGGCTGGTGCAATTACCCGAACGGGCACATGACCTCTTCCCGCAACTCTCGCCTGATCTCTTTCTAATTTCGGGACAAGTGCCGCAGGGTGCGCGTGACGCTGCAATACAACTACTGCTCTCAGCCGTCTTGAGCCGTCTCGGGCCGCCAAAGCGTCTTCTAAGGATTCTAAGGCCATGTCGGATCCCATGGAAGGCCTTTTTGAGCCGTCTTGGAACCATGTTGGATGGTTCGTGGGCCATCGTGGGGTCCTCTTGGGCCATCTTGGGATCCTCTTGGGTGCCTCTTGGGCCGTATTGGAGCACTCGTGGGGGCTTCTTGGGTCGTCTTGAGTTGGAGGCAGCGGGTAAAGGCAAGCATGCGGAAATCACGAAACAGATCACGACATATATCAATGGTTTGGGTTTCTTCGGACCCTCTTGGACGCCTTCTTGTGGCCCCCTTGGGGGCAGCATGTGCCGTCGTGAACCTGTAATAGTCTGCTTTGGATTGGGCTGTCTCCGAGGCATCTTTGGACATCTTGGTTGCCTTGCTTGTCTGCTTGCACCGTTTAGGAAACGCGGACGTATAGTTTGTGACACGAGACCGCGGCGTAGGGAACGCGGATCCTTCGTTTTTGGCCAGGGACCGTGGCCTTTGAGTATGGGGTGATGCACGCACCTGCCTGCGACTAGGGGAGGAGGGTCCTCATTAGAATACAAAACCTAGCCAGGCCGCATTTGGCATTCTACCACGTCTTCGCGCCAGGGGGCACGTTGGCGGACCCTCCATCCTGCCAGTTGTTGGAAACCTTGAAGACGAATGTGCGCGGCGCTAAATTCAAAGAAACACTTTGATAGCGACTCGCACTCCGCCCTCGCAGTTGCTGAGGCAGTTGGAGACGAATTTGCGTGGCGTTGAAGCGACGGCAACATGTTGAAAGCGACCCGCGATCCGTTGTTTGTGTGTGTGTGTGCGCGCGTTTTTTTGAAGAATGCAGAGAAAGGGAAACCCTTGCATCGGTTGTGCGCGGAGTCTTGATGATAGCCTCATGTTGAAGGTCTTCCCTCCGTGTAGCTATGCATTGGAAACTACGAGATCGGATGCCGCTGATCATGCGGAAGGCTCAGGCGAAGCGCAGTCCCGCTGGACCGAGACGTCTGGTGGCGCAACGGCGAACGAAGACGGATGGTGGAGGAGGAGCATTATTATCCCTCCTCCTCTTCCCCTTTCTCCTTCCCTCATTGTCCTCCCCCTTTCGCCACGTCTCTCGTTCATACTCCACTCCTCCTCCCCCTCTTCATCGAGCGGGGGCACGCGCGGGGACGGAGCGGGGAGGGAGGAGGGACCCCTCAGGCCTTCAGGGCGAACCCCCGCCTGAACATCGTCATTCAGACGATCACCAGTGCATTCATCGATCTGATACACTTCTTCTTGGTCTTCTCTCTGATCTTCTTCGTTTTCTCTGGGTCCGCGCACATCATATTCGGGGCCAGCATGCAGCAGTTCAGCTCCCAGGGGAAGTCGGCCATGATGTGTTTTCGCATCCTCATGGGCGATTTCGATGTTGAAGAGATGGTGATAGTAGGAGGGTTTTTTGCATATTTCTGGTTCTTGTCGTTCGAGTTGCTGGTGTTCCTGATCCTGTTGAACTTGCTGTTGGCCATCATCGTCGATTCGTACGCCGCCGCCAAAGCCAAGTACGTGGACCCCATCACGATCTGGGGCCAGGTCAACAAGGCTCGCAAGACGCTGCGCGAGACGCGCGGCCACTTGGACCAGTGGTATCTGATCTGCGAGTTCGAGGACGACGAGTACCCTGCTCACCCGCAGCCGAGAGTGACGTCCAAGTCGTTACGAAAGGCTTTTGCGAGGGAGAAGATGACCAAGAACAACGCCGACTACTGCGTCCGGAAGGCGCTCGAGTACCAGAAGGAGAAGGAGGGCGAGTTGGATCTCACGATCACGGACGCCATCCGGGAGATCAGCAAGATCGGCGTGCAGACCCTCAAGATCGCGGACCAGACGGAGTCGACACTGGACATGCTGAAGGAGGACCGCAGGAGGCCCCAGGAAGCACGCCTCAAGGCGATATGGGAGGGCGAGGACCTCGAGAAGGCCCGAGACGGGTAAGACAATTGTGATCGAGTCAAGCCTTGCTGTCAAAATCCGGACCCACAAGCTTCATAAGATAGTGCCATATGCGCAACACAACGGGGGCCAACACAGTTTGTGCAATACGCGTCGTTTCTGCTTCTCCTGGCCCTCCCAATGCGACGCAGGCGAACAAGGCGATGCCTGGCCAGAGAACGTCATTGCCGCCGGGGCCGACTGGGCATCTGCCTCCCCTTTCTCCGCCATGCCCCCCCCCGCCTCCTCCTCCCCTCCCTCGCCCTCCCTCGCCATCAACCTTCGGAGGGCGCCAACTCTACACCTACACCGATCCTGGCTCGGCCGATCCTGGCCGAGGGCCAGTCTTCCCGGCCACGCCAGGAGGACGTCCACACCGACCTTGGGCGCAGGAAGCGCTGGGCGAGGATCGGTTAGTTTTACATTGTAGTCGGCATCCGTCTACTCTTCCCTCTGCGAACCTGCTCCCTCCCTGCGCCTCCCTCCTCCCTGTCCTCTTCCTTTTCCGTCCTGCTCCATCCCTCTTCCTTATGAATAGCTCAAGCTTGTCGCACCACAGGTCGGGTCCGTAGGCCATCCCGAGCGCTTGGTTTTTAGAATTCGCCTTAACGGGTGACCTGGAAGCTTCTAATGTCCAACAGCTACACGGATGTAGGCCAGCACTTTTTTCTTCAAAGTTGGTCCACCTCCCCAGTGTTGCGCACACTCGTCTCAATCATGCTAGCCAGGTTAAACCGCAGAAATTGGGTTATCCCATTACGGGGTAGAACTATAAGATGTGCAAGATATGATGTGGGAGATTTGCGGTGCAAGCTCTGTGGTGCAAGCTATTCGGTGCAAACCAAGTGGTATAATGGTATAATATATGTTGTGTAAACTATGTGGATTTACCCGCATGGAATGAGATATATGGGTGAGATAGGGTGTGCAAGATATGTGGCGTGAGCTATGTTGTGCAAGTTATGTGGTTTGAGCTGTCTGGTGCGTTAGCCTAGCTCTGAGTCGGTCAAGAGATTCACGGCGTGTGCGCATTGGGGTGGCGCAGCATTTGCCCGACGAACGTGGCTGCGTGCCAGCTATCGCACCTCATTTGCTACGCAAGCAAATCCTCAGCACGGTGCGAGTGTCGAGGTGGTCGAAGGGGAGCAGCGGCTGTTCCCCTTCGACCACCTCAAAATGGATACTGGCAAAACACACTGGCACACATCAAAATCGACTACCTTACCCCTTCCAGCCAACCTTCTACAAAATGGATACGGGCACCCACTCACGGGGACATCAGAGTGCCGTCTTCAATCGCAAGATCTTGATAAAGGGGCCTGCGCCCGAAGTCGCCCCCCCCCCCCCTCACGAGGACTACCCACCTAACGTAAACCAGACATCGGTGACACCGAGCCTGGCCCGCGCGGAATGGGCGTGAGACCTGCATTCTGGCGACACGCTTGTCTCGGAATGATGCTCCAGCATGCGCGTGGGCAACGTCTTTGATTAAGCATTATGTTGCCGCCTAGGCGCCAGCGACATCCTTCATTGAACGTGCTGTTCTCGCCTGCGCGTGGGCCACATCTCTGAATGAACATGCGCGGCCAATTGTCTGATTGAAAATGGTGCCGCCGCCTACGCGCCAGCGACATTCTTCATTGAGCGTGGTGTTCTCGCCTCGGCGCAGGCCAGATCTTTGATGAAAAATGTGGCTGTCGCCGAGTCGCTGGCGACATCCTTCATTCAGCATGTCGTTCTCGCCTTGGCGAGGGCCACATGTCTGGTTGAACATGTTATTGTTGCCTCGGCGCCGACGACATCCTTCATTGAGCATGTCGTTTTCGCTGTGGCGCCTGTCGCATGTCTGTTGGAACATTCTGCTGTCACCCAGGCGCCAGCCGCATCTTTCATTGAGCATTTCGTTCTCGCTGTGGCGCCAGTCGCATGTCTGATGAACAATGCCGCTTTCGCCTAAGCGCCACCCGCATCTTTCATTGAGCATGTCGTTCTCGCTGCGACACCAGCCTCATCTGATTTAAAATGTTGCTTTCACTTAGGCGCCAGCCGCGTGCATGATTGCGATACTTGTTTTCGCCTCAGCGTGGGCCGCACTCTCGACTTGGAATGCTGCGTTCGCCTACGTCCTGGGCGGCGGTCGCGCGCATGATTGCGGTAATTGTTCTCGCCTCAGCGCGAGCTGCGCTCTCGATTCGGAATGTTGTTCTCGCTTGGCGCCAGCCAAGCATAGATTTGCGAGTGATGTGTTGCCGCTTCGGCGCCGGCCGCGCCCTTGATTGCGAATGCCCTTCTCGCCTTGATAACCGACTGTGCCATCGATGAGGCGCCTGCCACATCTTGATTGCTAACGCCATTCGCGTCGCAGGGGAAGACGCAGCCTCGCAAGCTCGTGGGCTGCGCAAGCTTCCAGATGTCGGCCCCATCTGGCCAGGCACCAAGGTGCCGCTTGGATTACTTTGCGTTGTGCTACTAGTTACCATAGTGCTGGTCACATTGGTGTTGCTGGCGCCGCTAGCACTGCACTTGTGCTGGTGCCCGTAGTGTTGTTGTTTCCTGTCGGGCTGGTCGCAGTGGTGCTGCTGATGGCGCCAGTAGTGCTACTCGTTGTGCTGCGTCTTCGCCTTCGTGCTGGTCGCACTGGTTCTGCTGCTTCGTGGAAGGCTGCTGTCTCTGGCGATGCTCGTCGCACGAGTACTGCTCGTTGCGCTTGGGCTGGTGAACGAAGTGTTGCCGTTCCCCGCCGGGCTGGTCACAGTGGCGCTGCTGGTGGCGATTGTTGTACTGCGCGTAGGGCTGCTGCTTCCCGTCCTGCTGGTCACACTGGCGCTGCTGGTGGCGTTCGTGCTGTTGCGCTGGGTGCAGCTGGTTCCTGTCATGCTGGTCACAGTGGTCTTGCTTTTTGCGCGTGTGCTGTCGGTTACCGTTGTGCTGGTCACACTGGTGTTGCTGGTTGCGCTAGTGCTGGGGCGCGTGGTTCTGCTGCTTGCTGTCGTGTTGGTCGCACTGGTGGTGCTGGTGGCGCTAGTGGTGCTGCGCGTGGCACTGCTGCTTGCCGTCGTGTTCGTCACAGCGCTACATATTGTGGCGCTGGTGTTGCTGTGCTTGGTGATGCTGCTTGCTGTCGTTATGGCCACAGGTGCCGCCAGAGGCACTAGTTGCGCTCGCGCTGCTGCTGGTGGTGCTGCTGGTTCCTGTCGGGCTGGTCGTTGGTGCTGCTAGTCTTTCTCGTGCTAGTGACAGAGGCACTGCTGGTGGCGCTGGTGCTGCTGCGAGTGGTGCTGATGTTTCTTGTCGTGCTGGTCACAGTGGAATGTGCTCGTTGCGCTCGCTCTTTCCCTGCTGCACGCCCGACTCGTGGCGGCCCGCAGCCGCAGCGGGCAATGGCGACGCCGGCAGCGCGGCAGCCGCTGGAGTCCATGGGCGACGACGGCGGGAGGGCGCTGCCCAGGGGCCGCTGCTGGCGAGGTGAAGCGCCGTTGCTGGCCGGGCAGGGCGCTGGTGCTGGGCGCTGGATCTGCTGGCTGGGACGGGCAGCAGCAGCAGGCGGCAGGCGCTGACGCAGGGCCCACGATGAGCCATTACCCCGTCCTCGTGCTCACCGTGGCGGTCCTGGGTAATGCTGCAACTATGGCCCCTTGCTGGCGCAACCCTTCCCCTTGGGAGCAACCCTTCCCCTGTGCTGTCTGCGCGGAGCCCGGGTCCCTGCCGGTCTTGAGTCGGGCCTGTCCCTCTACTGGTTTGGGCAGATCAGAAACTGCTTCCAGGGCGGGGCTCGCACCTCACAGCCAAGCTTCGCTCGAACGGACTGCGCATCGTTGTCTGGGGCGCCCCCCAGAGTCCAGGACAAAACCGAACGATCCGGGCCGGCACGCTTTGCATTGGGGCACGGGAGCGCTTCCCACCTCGCCGGCCTCGCCGGGCGGGGGGGTGGGGGTGTTCGCGCAATTCAGCGCAACAAATCGCCTGGCGCTGCTGGTTCCCATCGTGCTCGTTCTGGTGGAAGTGCTGGTGGTGCTGGTGCTGCCTTGCGTGGCGCAGCTGCCTCCCGTCGTCCTTGTCGCAGTGGTGACGCTGGTTGCGCTCGTGCTGCTGCGCTTGGCGCCACTTCTCGTCGTCGTGCTCGTTGCAGTGGCGGTGCTGGCGGCGTTCATGCTGCGACGTGTGTTGTTGCTGCTTTTCGTCACGCTCGTCATCCTGGAGCTGCTCGGGTCGCTTGTACTGCTATGCGTGGTTGTGCTGCTTGCTACCGTGCGGGCCGTAGAGCTAATATTGGCGCCGCTTTTGCCACGGCTGCTCTCGGCAATGCTGGTGGCGGCGCCGATGCTGCTGTAGTGCTCGTCGCGGTAGTTCTGCGTGGTCACAGTGGAACTGCTCGCTGCGCTCGTGTTGCTGACCGACGCGTCGCGGGTCGTCGTGCGCATCTCCGCCAGGCCGCGTGAACTGCAGTGCGAGGGCAGCTGGATCCTGTGGGACAGGCTGTGGGCTGTGCCCTGGGTCGCCCTCGGTGCCCAGCGCAAAATCTAACGATTTGGGCCGTGGCGCTTTGCGCTGGAGCACGGGAGCAACTCCCCCCCGCCGGCCTCGCCGGCGGGGAGAGGGGGGCGCTCGCGTAGTCCAGCGCGAGTCGCCTGGCATTGCTGGTTCCCGTCGTGCCCGTTCCAGTGGAACTCCTGCTGGCGCTGGTGTTGCTTGCGCGTTCGCTGCTGCTGGCTGAACAGGGTGCCGGTGCTAGGCGTTGGAGCTGCTGCCCAGGCTGAGCGGCAGCAGGCGGCGGGCGTTGACGGCGGGCCCACGACGAGTCGCTACCCCGCCCTCGCGCTCGCCCTGGCGCTCCTGGTTAGCGCTGCTACTGTAGGCCCCGGCTGGCGCAAACAGTTCCCTGGGAGCGACCGCCGTTCGGGCTTGGGGCGAGCAGCTGTTGTTCCCGTGGTGGGGTTTGCAAGAACTTCGCGCGGACGGACGGCGCATTTCTCTTCTGAGGCCCCCCGGTCCCCAGCGCAAGA